TAAGAAGATGTTCCTCTTTTTTTCGAATAAATAAAAACGAGCGCCTCCGCCGATCGATTTGTCCGCCGTAGAAGAAAACAGAAGAAATGAGGTTAGCACCATTATTACTATGCATTCTTTCCTCGCTCTGTGTTCACCATCTGGAATCAGATAATGTGCAGTAAAGAAAGAAGTCTAACATATTCACATAGTTATGCATACCTTATAAATACTATACGTATAAACATATACATCTAGAAATGCTAAACCTGCACACATGTCACTTTCCGACAGGTTTCCATCTGGGACCGACACATTCCATATTACCTCCCTGTATCTTATGAAGTGGAACTTTTTATGTAACCTGACCTGCTTACAAATATGACCTCATGTATTCCATTGAACAAAAACATTATTTGAGTAGACAAATTTCTTCAGTCTTCAGTAGCAGACCAAGTTAATGAAAAACTATTCGAAACTTCTGCATGAACGGAAGTTTAAATAAGTACTTTTGACGAAAAAATCATCATAAGCGCAGTAAAGCAGAATTAATAAGCAAATTTTAATAGAATCCAATTTAAAAACCTACTCGTATATAGCAGCGAAAACAAAGAAAACAAATAGCTGAGAGGTAGGCTAAACTAAATAACCCGCATGGTGTGCTGGTGAACACGTTAGCCCCGTAAAGGGTAATAGCGTGTTCGTTCGCCACCGCAGACACCTGCGGTCCGGAGTTTTGCGGATATCTCAGCACCACTGCGGTTGTACCACATATGATAACCCGACGTAAAAACCGTAATAGGCAGCAAATAAAAAGTTAGCATTGTAAAGAAAACAATTTTATTGTCGTCAAATTCGAAAATAACTGCGCAATGAGGCTGTTGTAGGAATGAATTAATTTAAGCAAATGAACGTATTAACTACTTCGAACGCTAAAAACCTAGCAGATAGAAAGCACGACGATATCAAAGAACGAATATTAGTGACTCCTTCTACTTCGATAAAAAGCAAAAAGCACAGGAAAAAAATTCACTCAGTAGTACGAAAAACATATCCCACTCGATTTACAACATAGAACTTACAAGTTCATTGAAAGATATCTATTTACAGACTTCAAAACAAATAAGTCGCCTACACTAGATTCATACAGATGCCTACACTGAAAAAATATAGAGCAAAACAGCCGAAAAGAATTGAACAACAAAGAAATAAGAAATGTAGTAACAAAATAACTTTGAGGAATAAGATGACACTACCGTAATCTAGCTAGTCCGTGACGACATTTTCGAACGAGGTTTGGACACGGATTTGACCGTGGACAAAGCGATGGTAGCATACGAGCGAATCGAAGTGAACTGACAGAATCGGACAGATAGGTCCGACACGCTCAGACAGTTGTAGATTTAGGAGAAATTTATACAGTAAGATCGATTGAATCGTTTCCCACCACGATCACTACCATACACCTCTGATCGATCGGTGCGCGTTAGAGCTGATGCCACTAGCAATGGAGGGATGGATGAATGCACGGCGACACACTTGCACGGACGGCGGCGGCGGCAGTCAGTCACATCGCAGCAAACGGGTCCATCCTTCCGTTCGTCCGCTTGTCCGTCCGTCCATCCGTTTGTTCGATCCAAGTGCGACGCGTCATCACGTCTCACGTCCAAAAGTTGGATAATAGACATAACACGACTCAGCAGCCATCCTGGCTTTGCCATCTATGCTTAATTAAGCATAGATGATGTTCGAATGAGAACACAGAGAAGCTCAAAAGTATGAATTTCGTAGCCTACTTCGTCAAGAGATGTGCCACTCTTCACATCCAGGTCTCAGATTCCACTTATTTAAATGTTACATTGTAATATTACATTAATTAATGTTACGGTCATAGTTCCACAATCTCAGTATCTTCTATGAACCCTTCTGCGACCCCAAATACATATGGCGAACACGGTTGCTCAAGTTAGCCGGTACATATCCTTCTGCACATTTCTCTGTGCTTCTCAGAAGAAAAAAAGGTCCATGCGTGTCCTTTCGGTTGCTATGCAATTCATCTTCACCAACTATTGGAAGTACCGTAGCCAAACACAAAGAGTAATGCCGAACAACGTAAAATAAATCCGAAACCTCATACGACACCAATTTTCGCTTTCCATTAGTTAACATTTCGACAAAAATACGTGTTTCTCTTCTTAATTTTACACTACCGTGCTTTTAAACATTGAATTGAAAAATTCAATAACATCCATACATACGTGGCATACAGTACGCAAATAGTGCAAAAGTACAATAATCTACGAACAGGACCATACAATAACATTGCCGGCGATGTACTAGAGTCGGGCGATAAATGACGACAGACTGACTATGGATGGGAATGAAACCGATGGACACGTCGTTCATCGTGCTCAACCTATTAAATCGTGTCAAAAGATCGCTACCGATCGTTAAGCAGCTATTCATCTGTCACACGTTTTCAAATAATGCACGAGAAATTGTGGAGATAATTGAAAGAAACGACCGTTAGACCATGAACTGAACAACGTCGTGGAAATCGCTTCTACTAATAAAGCGCTCCGTCCCCTATTTCCGTAATTTTCACAATGCTAATGTTCTCCGCTCGCAGAATAATTTCCACTATATTAGGATATATACGACAGCGCAGAGTAAATTATTAATAAAGTGGACGGAATGAGATGAAAGGCTAAATTGCCATCTATCATAGTTAAACGATAGAAGACAGCGAGAGTGCTGCCGAGTTCCACGAGGTGCAATGCGTTAGTAGAGCTCATGAGGAAACGCCACCTACCGACTGTCTTCATCTCTGCTCCACATAAAAATTCACCGAGACCTCGATTATGGAGCATTCAATAGCTTCGCATTCTCAAAAATGGAAAAGAGTAAAGCGTTCGACGTTGATCAATCTTGTCGATACGCGCTAAGGATTCGACTCCACATAGCATTTCTACAGATAAATGAACGCACATTAGGACTACACAATAATTTGTGACGGTCTAGCGATGTGTAAGGTCAGTGGTTTTATCCTCCCAAACAGCTCTGGTACTATTTTTCCAATCCCGGAAGAATGAGAGGCCTGGTTGATCGAAGGACGTGTGTCCATTGCAGGAAATCTTCTCTAACTATTATGCTACACTCTACCAGTAATAAGCCAGTATTGTTACAACCTTCGACGAGAAGTATGATACCATTTGACAGCCGTAAATAGTTGAAGTGCATGATTCTTCACTGAAAATGTGGACCGATCCGACGAAGGTGTATTATGTAAATGACGCCTCTATTGCATTTCCCTCGACGTCACGTTAAATCATTGTTAGTTTGTTCCGATATGTCCATCAAACATTAGGAAAAAAGGCTTCCACACTTTTTATGACCATATAAGGAAGAAGAGACCTAATGAAGTCAAAGAAAACCACTCCACCTCAGACCGAAAAAACCAATCCCCCTCGAAGCTATCAAGCAGATGAGTAATGAATGTGGAATTAACAAACTGTGGAATGCTAGCTGCTTCACATTGTCTAACGATTAGTCAGCATGATGAATTCGAAACTTCTTCGCTTCTTTTTTTCTCCTATGAAAATTCGTTGTCAATATAGTGAATAGTGATTCGCTTGAATTTTGATCGATTGTGCAAGCTCAGAAACCGAGTGTCGAATAAAAACGCAAATAAATAATCACCACCACTCATACGAATCGACTCCGGTGACACAAAGAAAATTCATCTGCTTAACAACAAATCTGAAGAACGAGCTCATCCACATAAAACGGAAGAATAAGTATGAAGTACGAAAATATTGTCAAGCAAAAAATTGTATCATTTCCATTAGTGCCAGCAGCACAATATTTAAATAGCTGGCTTCATATTGAAACACCTAACTACAGTAATTCTTTACATGTTTTTTCTCTAAACATGATACAGTATGTAAACAAATTTAGCTATTACTTTAACAGTATGCACAAAAAAACACTCACCAGTACAAAAATAATTCGTATACTTAGTTTTATTAATGCTCATTATCCTCTCAACGGTTTACCGCCTCATCGTGGCTGGGAGATGTTCCTGGGTGTCGGGGTGCCATGTCCAACGCGGGATTCGTCTCCCCAGCAGGGTCTCCCAAAGCTGAGAAGGAATCCGACGTTTCCATCGGGAAACCTAGCTAGGAGTAAACCAATACCAGGATCGAGCATCGTCCTGGTATTAAATTTGTCGCATGGTGGCAAAACTTCCTCTGATCTAATCTACAAGGGGTGCGACAACCTGTGGTGGTGACGACGGGGCAAACTTCGACCAGGCCCGCCTAGTGATTCCAGGAAACCATACCGGCTAAGCCAGCAGGTCTCCAAAAAGGTATAAATTATGCTAGGGCCCGCACTATTGAGGATGGGCCATCCAAGTATCCAAGTAATGCTCATTACGACTGAGTGTAACAAGTACAGTGAGTACGGTGAGTACCCGCGCCTGTCTAGTGGAACAAACGAAGAAATAAAACATATTGTTCTGTCTTTTTTTTCACGACTTTAAAACACAAGACTAAAAAATATCGTAGGAAGTTTTCTTTTCAAAGAAATAGAGCTACTCCAACAAGAAAGTGAACAATTGTTTTTCCCATAAAACAAAAAGAGAAAGGAAAAAGGAAAACAAAATTTCAAGTGCGTGTACCTCAGTGATTTTCTTTTTGTTACATTTCCACTCAAATTGCTACTATCTGGACGATCTGGACATGACGACGATGGTGCATCTAAAATAAGTTCAAATTTTTCACAAGAAATAACTTCCGACAATGTCTAAGACTCCTTTTATAGGTTTTTTTTTCTTTACTTCCATAGCGAGAACAGACGTTTTCGGAGCGAAAACATGTCATGCAGAAATATACTTCCGTCAAAAGTTGACGTTTCTAAACTTATGATATCAGATTCAAAACCTACAAAGCTCCTACGTAAGCCATTTCGTGCCCATGTTACTTTACGTAAAATATGAGAAATAAACTAAATAAACAGCTTTATCCAGTTAGACCTGGACTCCAAGGGGTGCCTAAGGCCGTCTGTCGAGGTGATATAAGAATACCGGCCATATTACATGGTCCCGGCGATGTAGGACTATTTATACAAGACTCAGGATCGTTCTTCAGATCACGAGATGATGTCGAGAACCATCGTCGTTTGAAGGCGAACGACCATCGTTGGCGTCGACTTCCACCTTCTTTCATCTTTTGAGTCGGTTCATCACAAGATTCTGATTCGGTAGCACGTGGACGAGGCATATGCTTGGTAGAACGTCAGTATGACGATGTTAGGCCAACGAATTGCCACCAATACACTAGAATGAAGTCAACTTGATTCAATAGTCATGCGTACGGCAGAATTCGTCAAAACAACAAACGAATAGTGCCAGTTTTTGGTAGATAAACAAGTTCTCGACTCATAACCTTCAATATAATATGGAATTTTACGTAGAAAAGATAAGCAATATTTTCAAATGCGTTTTCTATAGCACATTTCGTAGAGAAGCGAAGCAACTTAGGTTAATTGATACATAGAACAAGGAACAGAACAAAACAAGGCATGTGTAAACGTAAGGAATAACTGGAGAAAAAGGCGCGTCTCTTTCGAAGCGTTACTACGACGGATAGCTATCTCTTGAAGCAAACTGGAAATAAGGAAAGGATATGTTGCTCACGAGACTCAAATTGCATATTCAGAAAAATGGCTGTTTTATAACTTAAAATGAGGAATAGTTGATTCTATCGGATTATAAAGCACAATGTCGACTAGAGTCCTTTATTAATCCCGAAACGAAAATACCTGGTGTGAACACTTTACCCGCCTAAGGAACCATTTTTTCCGTTGTATGATGAAAATTATATGAAATCCACAGAAACGTCATTTTTCTAGAGTTCGTCTCACTTTTAGACCACAAAAATTCAGGAACCACTTTGACTGTGTTTATAAAACTATGCAAGACTTGTTGGTCTGCACCGTTTATGAGTAATCAAAACCATAAATTATCGCGGAAATTTCCACGAAAAACAAGTAAAACGTCATTACTTAAACTATAAATGTTACAGATAAATCTGAAGAATCATAATATAACGACATTTGGGATCCCGTAAGTTATTGTCTAGGCCAAATATGAATTCTGTCACTTTTAGTGGAGTCGAATGCATCCCTAAGGATAGGAATCAACGCCGAACGGCTTTCCAAACGTCCTAGCATTGTTGCTCAATCGTGTTTGAGATAGCGAAGCTTATTATAGCGTTCTGTTCTGTTTCGATCTCTTCTCCGATATTAAAGCTCTAACGGTTGCATCTCGAACCACATCTGGATCCTACAAAATAGAAAGCATTTCAACCACTACTTAACAGCTTCGATAAGCGGTACTTCAATTGGCCTAAATGACAAGAAACTTGGGAAAACTTAAAAAATACGGCAGACACTGGCGAGTGGATGAACAACTCAATCAAAAATTCAGTTCCATGAAATGACATATATCTAAACGCCTAAAGCATGAACTATTAAAACAGAAAACGATAGAAATCAGTACTTGTAGAATCCAAAAACCTTCCTTGATTAACAATTCACAGATGCTGATGGAAAAAAATAAAAATATTAATTGAAGTACGGGGCAGCTAATAAGACTGTACACATCGTAACACCACGTAAAATCGAACTCCCCCAGTCACAACCCTCTTTACTATGAACGATGAAGGATGAACCACTCGGCGTTGAATAATAACATAGGAATGCGAAATACATATATACGACTTCATCAAATATTACATAGATGATTGAATGCATATTTCGATGATAAAGCGACTTGCGGAGGCCTATCGATCCATCAAGTTAATGTTCTTACTCTCACAGAGTACTCTGCTACCAATGTAGCGACCCGGAAATATGAACGGCTTGGTTGGTGCGAGTGGGTGCGAGATCTAATTGACGACCATGTGTGTACTAAAGCGCACCTCTAACTTCTGAGCCACTCCCACTCAATGGTTACATAGTAGGACTTTCGAAGATCGCATGTCATTGTTTTAAATTTGCTTTAATTACTACAAATGTATGTCACAATTAACGATAATAAAGAAAAGTTTAACCAAAACCAATTCTGCATTGATTGCTACAGTGACGGAAGATGGACAACAAATGGTAGCTAACTAGCACACACACATACACACATACAAAGACACATCAATTCGCGTTGGTGGGGATGATTCTAATTTCGTCCATAGATAGCCCCAGATAGGAAAGAATATAAAATTCAGGACAATATATGGTGGGGAATGATCGAAATAACCAAAAGCACACTTAGTGGAACCCCATTATGATTATTCTTGAAGACACAAGTAGAACAAGAATTATGACACTAAAAGAAAACAAGAGCAGCAAATCATAGAAATCTGAACACATGTTCTTTGTTGGCTCTGAAAATCATAATGGAGGTCGCGTTCTTAACACAAAACACAAGACGTCCGACTATGTCGTTGACTGGTATTTGCTGAAGAGCCGACGGAGCGCATGAGGGAATTGGAGAGGAAAACTGTCGAGAGAAAGAGATAGAGAAACCATGCCAACAGACGAGGAAAAACAAAAATAGCACTGGCACGCTACTGAACATTTGATATGTTTCATGAAAATGGAAGAAAAACTGTGAAAGCCGAAGAGAGTAACGACATTTGCACAGCCTTTGAAATGAATGTCTTCAATAAGTCAATCGACGAGAGAAAAAGTGGACATTTCACATCTCCTTTAAAGAAACAATCCAATTCTAAAGCATAGAAACCTTCATCAGCGTTAACTTGTATAGCTGTATGATTCAAACATCAGGAAATCGAAATCCAGAACATTTTTGATTAGGAGAGATTTCGCCGACAATTATATCACTATTCGTGTTCCCACACAGTTGGAAAGCAGGTAGTGTAATGATCAGGCTCCAAAAAAAAGCTCCACAGAATGTACCGGGGTAATCGAACTCTTAATTAGCACTCTCATTAAAGTTGCTAAGAAACTTAGAATTTCCCCAAAGAAAAAGACAGACACACACACCTGTATATATGTATATATATATGTATATATATGTATATATATATTTGTATATATATGTATATATATACATAGATACACATCCGCGCATATACACATACACAGATATACGCATATATATATATACAATATACACATACACAAACATACACACATATACAAACACCCAAGTACGTAACTAAACGAAGAGTAGAGCCGTCTACTTCGAGAAATACAACCGTTGCCAGAGCAGGCGGAGGATGTGTACACGAACTGAGAGCGAACACACACCGTCGTAGGCAGCTGAGATAAGCGGCCATGAGAAATCTCTACCACATACCTCATCTCGCTGATCGATCCATCGTCATCATCATCATCATCATCACCATCATCATCATCATCTACCAACAGGAAGCAACAGTATTTGAACAAATTATACACTTACCTCATTCAACGCACATACACACGCACCGACACATACATATACATATATATATATATATATATGTATATATATTCAAAAAGACACAAACATATATATATATATATATATATATATATATATATATATACTCGTACAAACACGTAGACACCGACGCACATCTACTCACACCCTCACACTCCACAACCGGACATCTTCACATCTCCTGCGATAATCCGCTAATTCTACTTACGTTCAACACTTAGTAATTTTATACATAGTAACATGATATACTGCAATATACTATTGCGCGTAACGTCCAACAACTAAAGGTTTCCTGATATATACACCAAGTTCTTGGTTTGATCCCGCACTCCGAGCTAAGATTCTTACTACCACTAGCTTCGGAACAACTAGTGGTACGGTTATCTCTGGGAGATAAAAACGCTAACTTCAAACATCAGTAAGCCATTGAAAGCCATTATATGGGCGAAATAAGCATTTAATTACCACCATGCTTAATGATGTTGAATGCATGGCGTATTCCTGAGGGATTGATCAACGCTGGACGTTTTATCGTTGTACTACACGAAAGTAAGAAATATGTGGAACAAAGCTTAGAAATGAACTTATCACTTCGTACTAACTTTCAATTTAATAAACAGACATTTGATCGGCGGGTGACGTTACTACTGGTCGGAATCATTAAATCGTTATCCATTCATTGGTATCATATGAATCTTGACATTGAGAGTACCAGACAATAAGAATTAATAGAATTGAAAAGTAGATAGATTATGCATAACGGCATTAGGGAACGAAACACTATCGTCACCGTCACAATGTACTACTGGCAATCACTGCCTAATATTGAAACGAAAAAAAGTTTAGCTACAGTATCCACATTTTCTACGGCTTTACAGAACTAATTTGCCATGATAATAGCGGATTATTGAACTGAAATTCAGTAAAGTAGAATTCTTTACGTAGTTTTATGACGTTTTACATATGCGACACAAGACAAATCTACTTGCTCATCTAATACTCGGAAATATATCCTAGAATTCCTTTAAGAACAAAAACTGATATCAAAAAGGAGGTTTAATTACACTACACACAATGTCTGTGAAACGGCATCGCGTGGTACGGTAACGTCTAATACGCCAACGTGGGTGTATAATAATGACCGCGAACTGAGAACACTTTTAAACTGGAAGATCGATAACGATGAGAATTAGATGAATCATCATCATTTTCTGATCGGATAATATCGCCGCAAACCAAACAATGAATGGGATATATTACATCGAATCTCCACCCTACGGTCATAATAGATGAATGCATTGAATACCAATTAACTGTTGATTATGTTTACCATGAGATAGAGCGAATCGAAAAACGAATGGAAGAGTGCAAATTAAAAAAACTTAGAGTTAGTGAGTTGAATAGAAATGCGTTTCACCTATTATTCTTCTATGCTGGTTATTATTCGATCCGATAACAACCACAAATTCTTATTCACCTTTGAGCAAACGAATACTACATTTGCTGTAATGTACCCAATTGAAAAGAACGAAAAGATCAGTAATAGAAAGAAAATAGAGGCACAGAAATGAACCAGAAAAATATCGAACAATTTGTTCCGGTTGCCTACTATTCATTACTACTTTCCTAACTTGCAGATGTTCCTTCGTCCCCTCCCCCTCCCCCCACCCCATGGAGCCGAAAAAGTGAGTGTTTGACTCACCAACCACCAAATCGTAACTGACACAACTATAATCGAGTGCTTTTTTCTTTTATAAACTAGTTTTCAAAGTCGTA